CTCACAGGGCAGAAGGACAGATGAGAATGAACTCACGCGTTCCTATAAAATTGCCATTTATCCTATACATGAGGGCAGCTCTTCCATGATTTACTTAGCTACTAAAGGCCCAGCTGTGTATCCTATCACACTGGGAGTTCAACAGACTGAAACCAGCCCATTCTGCTTTGTAGTGTCACTTCCCAAATTAGCTTCCTAATATCAAACCCTTGCCTCTGGGTTTATCTTTTGAGGTATCCTAACAGAGGGAATCAGGAAAAGGAGGGTGGATACTGTTAATGTTCTCCATCCTACTCAAAGTGTCTTCTGTGGACCACTCTGCTTAGTAAGCAGAACCCAAGGCTAAAGCCCACACCTACTGAATCAGCAGGTGATCTCACTCTGCAGGGTTTGTTTTGTTTTGCAAATAAAGGGGGTGGGGAGCAGGAGCTGTAAACATGCCCACCTAGTAATCTCCAGCCTTTAAACTCAATTACAAACTTCAAAAGCTATACGCTCCTATCTGTTATTTCCAGAACATACTTATGTTTTGCATGTCTTATATTTTACGCTTCTGTCTTGGTGGCTCATGCCACACTAGCTTGAATTTCCCTTTGACCTCTTTAGCAGCAACACATCCTTTCCTGTTCTGCTTTTCTCATAAGGTGTCCAGGGAGTTAAGTTTCTGACAAGGTTTGACTCTGATGGCCTCTTACAGTCAGTGAGTGAATACACCCCCACTCCTACAGACAATGGCATCCTCCACCTAGAACCAATTCATTCTAATTATCAGGCTCTGAGGTTTGACATAGCAAGTCTTCCAGAAGTTAATAATGCTATTTTGGGATCACCTGTATCCAGCCTGCTTAATGAACATGATGACGAGAACATAAAATACTTTTTCATCTCACACAGGAAGACTTTATCCTCATTCTCTATTTCATGTCTCACTTCTGGACTTGCTTTGTTTTCATTTAAATTATATTCAAATCACACTTCCATTAGTGTTAATTTGATGGCTTTTATAACATTCTTTAATTCTTCACCAAGTGTCTTCTGCCCTGCATCTCCCTGATGGGTTCATTTTGCTTTGCCTAGGAATGTCTTTTGATTATTGTCCAGAATGAGAGAGAAATGCTTCGTGCCTGGTGATTAAATTTTCACTTGAAACATGCGTAGACAGAATATAGTTTACAGATATTTATTTCTCCAGCATTGGCTGGAGAATAATTCAGTTTCTCTAGCCTGAGCTACCAGGACACTATTTGACTCTCAACTCTCATAAAAGACATCTTAACCTTACTCAGTGGAAGGTGGATGACAGAGATTATATGGCTGCTTAGGATTCTGAACCCCTGAACATTTAAGTGTTAGATGTTGCAACCTACCACTATTACCTGATAATTTAGTTGTTTTTGACAAAGGCAACATTATTAAGATATTGCAACCTCTCCCTGTTGACTGGTCAGTGTCTCCTGCTGCAGGCTACAACCCAAACCATTCCCTCTGTATTCAGGCATCAGTTGTCTTTATCCTTCTCACAGCACCAACACCCCACTAATGCCATCACTAACTCACTGGAGCCTAGTCTCCAAGGTGGGGTTAGAGAGATGGCTCAGCTTCATAAATTGCTACTCTGCAAGCATGAGGATTGGAGTTAGGATTCCTAGAACCTACACCAAAAACTGGCATGTTAGTGTGTGTCTGTCATCCTAAGGTTGAGCAGGTGGAGAGAGCTGTCTGTGGCTTTCTGGCCAGTCTAACTTAATCAGTGAACTCCAGTTTCAGTGAGAGACTTTCTCTCTCTCTCAAAAAAAAAAAGATGGAAATACAATGAGGAAGATACTCAAGATGGACATTTGACCTCTACACACACACACACACACACACACACACACACACACACACACACACGCACGCACGCACGCACGCACGCACGCACGCACGCACGCACGCGCGCAGGCTCACACACACACAACCAGGTCTGAGCTCTAATGCTCTAAAGCTAGCTTGACTTCTATTGGTGGGTGCATTGGTGTACAAGTTGTTTGGTATCTTCCCTGCAAAGATTCAGTTATCTTTTATATCCACCTATTCAGCTAAAGACCCCAAGTGGTAGACTGAGTCCAGTCTGGAAAGGTAGAAATTGTTGGGTTGATTTTGAGATGCTGCGCTCAGTGGATGCAAAATTCCTTTTGTGGAGGAAGGCATCAGATGTCAGAAAAGGTAGAAACACGATTCTTGACTCCCAAGTCAAAGGCCTGATTTGTCTCCATACCATGTTCATTCCTGATTTCTCTTTAGATCTCAGTTGCAATAGGTACTCAGAAAAGAAGGTCAGAAACTAGGGAGGTGAGACTTCTCACCTTTCTCTTTTTAGATGCCTTTAGGGCCCCCTAGTGGCTGTTTTAAGACCTCTGGATTTTAAGATTAGTGCGATATGACCCCAAAGAGGAGAAAAGACAGGAGAGGATAGAGTGCCCTGTGTGTGTGTGTGTGTGTGTGTGTGTGTGTGTGTGTGTGTGTGTGGTGTCTGACTTTTCAGTGACAGGTGCAATGCTGGTGTGAGGATAAATAGTTTGTTTAGAGGGTACAATACTTTCCCATTCCTTATTTTATAGCAAACTTGAGCTGATTCTTTAGGAATAACAGATATATTTCCTTACATATTTTTGTCTGCATTCCTCATGCTATGTCATAGCCAAAATAATTTTTTTTTGACATTTATATCTTGGTTTGTGTCAAAGACCTATATTTCTAGGCAATCACTTCCAGCTTCAGAATAGGGTTGTGCTGGTGTACACCTGGACAATAGAGGGAAGCTTTTCAGCATTTTAGGAGCTTACTGACCCGTGCTAACCAGCCTCATGAAACTCCTAGTAACTAGGTACCTCAATGACCCCAGTGGATGTTGCTCCCTCCCCCCCACCCTGTCCATAGTTTTCAAAGACCTAGATAATGCACCACTCTTGGGTTATTACAATGAAGATGATCCTTTCCCACATCCTTTCCTTTGAGTTTCTGATGTTAATTCGATTATTTCCTCCTTTGCTTTTAAATTCCAAGACTCTCTTCCTTCCCCTCATTAACATGCTAGTGCACTGTAATAATGCACTTTTATAACATTACTGAAGCAAATCGATAAATAAAAAGCACAGAGCTGGGCACACGCCTTTAATCCCAGAGGCATAGGCAGTCGGATCTCTGTGAGTTCGAAGCCAGCCTGAGCTGTAGAGTGAGTTCCAGGACAGGTTCCAAAATAATACAGGGTAACCCTGTCTCCCAGAAAGCAAGCAAGCAAGCACAAATCCCTGCTTTAACTTGATCCAGTTCCAGGGCAAACGCTGGTGTGGGGGTGGAGGAAGAGAGTAGGAAGGACTGGCGCTCTGTAAAATAAATAAATAAATAATAATAAGATGATCCCCTTGTTTTCCGGGAGTTCTAAAACAAAGCTGTACGTCAGAGGAAGCACTGAGCTGCCTTGGATCTAAAAGGCTTGACATTAAACTTGGGCACTTTAATGGCTTCTAGCATATTAGATAATATTTTATCACATAACGTTCTTCTCTGACACAATAATGGCATCACCACCAGATAAGATCTGCTATCTCTAACGGTGAGACTCATTCCGACAATCAGGACCCCGGCATCGCAGTTAACTCCAAAGCGAACGTTTTTGTTTTTTGTTTTTTGTTTTTTTTTTTTACTTCTTCACCAGGGACTTTGTTGTGCTACCGCTTCCTTCCTTTCGCATCCTCCTCGGCTGGGGCTACCTCTGATTTAGGTAAACAGCACTGGGAACTAGTGGAGAGACCCTGCTGATGATGGAAGGGGTCTTGGCTTCTAGAGGCTGGAGGAAAGCCTGGAGTAGCCGGGAGAGTGTCGGCCGGGTCAAAGGGCGGCCCAAGAGTGTGGGTACCAAGGCCAGAGCTGGGGGGTGGGGTGGATCTGAGAGGGTCCAGGTCAGCGCGGAGTCCCGAGCTAGGCGGCGTTTTCTTACGCACTCCTCCACTCACCATCCTTCCCAGCCCGTAAAAGAAACGGGGTGTGTTGCCCGCGGAGAGAGGAACTGGGAAAGCAAAGACTCTGTGGCTGGCTGGGTTGAGGAGAGGTGAGGACTCGGTGGAAGGGGGATCCCAGAAGACACGGGACCGAGTTGAGGAAAAAACCCGGGAGCTGGATCGCGCTCTCAGAGCTCGGTTTACCAGTCGGAGTTGTCCACTCGCCGGCGTTTCCTCGCCTCATGGGGGTTTTCTCCCGAGGGACACCCAATCCCCTTTACTGTAACCAAATCCACGCGCTTGTTCCGCTGCACGGGCCGACTTGGCATCCCCACCCTCGTCGTCAACACCAGAAGGCTGGAAATCCCTCCAGTGGGACGTTGCACTAGGGGTTTTGAGCAAGAATAAAATCAGAAAAATGGCACATCTCTGTGTATATGTGTGTATTGAGTAGAACACAAAAATGTAGTTCTCCCCGAAACAATAGTCTTGCACAGGATTCTTGGATCCAGAATCCAAACAGATGCTGTCAAAACCTCCAGGAGGGACTTCTCGCAGCTCCAGCCGCCCCATACCTTGTCGACCTAGAAAGAGCAGGGGAAACTTCCTACCCCCCAAAGACCGCTGTTTTATAAAAGGGGGTGGCCCGGTGACTCTCTCGGCAGGCATCCCTACCACAGCAGCTGCAGATCCAGCCGGCCTCCCTTCCCCCCTCTTTCCTCCAATCCCGGAGCCGCCGGAGTGGGGGAAGAAGGGAGGGCGCTCCAGCTAGCACCCTTTCCTTGAGACCCGGCCCGGGATCCCTGCTCCGGGTGTTGCTTCCTCCTGCGTTCCAGTGAGCCAAGGAACCTGGGGAGGCGCTGGGTCGTGGGCGGGGCCTAGGTAGGGCGGGCACTCGAGACGCTCATTTCTGGCGCTGTCCATTGGTCGTCCGTGCCGTCACGGGGTGGGGGTGGGGCCCCGAGGCAGGCTCGGGTCCCGCCCTCGCTCGGAACCCGGCCCCGGATTGCACCCCCACCCCAGCTGCACAGACATGACACAGACACACAGTCACTGCAGCTGCCTAGCGAGCCCGACGCTCTAGGCACGCGGCGGCTGCTGGACCAGCCCCGAGCTCGAACCCCAGCGTCCGCCTGCGCGCTCCCACGCGGGTCCCCGCACAGAGGTTCCCGCCCGGACGCGCACGGGAAGCGGGGACCGCGCGCCCTCCGCTCGCGGCTCCAGACTGCCCACAGCGGCTGCTTCGGACGCGCGGCTACAAACCCGAGCGCTCCGGGAAGCCGGCGCGTCTCGGAGGCGGTGGCGGCGGCAGCGGCGGCAGTGGCGGGGGCCGTCCGCCCGGGTTCCCCGCACCCACAGTGCTGCGTCCCGCTCGCCGCGCCCCGGCGGCCGTGACCTTCCAAGGGGCGCCTACGTCGGCCCCGGACCCCCGGTCCCGCGCCCCAGGCCAGGGCGAGGCCCTCTCCAGCGCCCGCTTCTCGCCGAGCCGCAGGCGGGCGCGCAGGCCCGGGGGGAGGGTCACCGCGAGCCGCCGCCGCTGGTCCCTGTGCTCGCTCGCTGTGCTCGCCACCGGGGCCGGCTGAGCTGCCCCCCTGCCTCGCCGCTGCTCCCGACCCGGGGCTCCTGGAGCTGGGGGCGCGGCCACAATCGCCTGGCTGGGTAGGGCCTGCCCTGAAGGGGCTAAGCGGCTAGGAGCGCGGGAGGTGGAGCCGGTAGGGCAGCCGCTCCGCGGTTCTTCCTGGTGCTGGTTCCCGGGACCCAACCCAGGGCGGCCCCAGGCCCCTGCCCATGCGAGGCGTCCCCGGCTTGGAAGAGTCCTGGCATGAAACAGCTCCCGGCAGCAGCCTAGGAGGAGGAGAAAGAGGGGACAGTACGCGGACCTTTCCTGTGGCATTTGGAGCCTAAGGCTGTCCCGAAGTCTGTGCTCGGTACCGATGGTCGGATTAAAATAGCACCAGCTGGGATGCCGACCCGGACACCCTGCTTTTCGTAGGCGTCATTGTCACCACGCCATTCAGCTCTTTTGGTGTGTTCCTCTACCTGGGGGTAGTCAAGGCCAAGGTAAGAGCCCTAGGGTGTGAAAGAACCTCCTTTGGGAGCTTTGGGAGCAGTGCTGGGGACAAGTTACCCAAACCTGTGGCTGGTACACGGTGTACTTAGGATACTGGGGAAGAGAAGGGCACACCTTTTCGACTTGACTTTGAGTACTGGAAAAGCCGGAGGTGGAAGACCCTAAATCTTTAGTGTCCCCAGGACCTGCCTCAGGATCTGACAGGCTCAAAGGCAGACAGGATGTTGGTAGGCAGGAGTGGTGTGGAGTGCGTGCGTGTGTGCGTGTGTGTGCGTGTGTGTCTGTGTGTCTGTGTGTAGGTGCCGTATTCCCACCATCCTGGGACCCTTCCCGCCATTCTGCGCTGCTCACCCACCTGCCTTTCCTGATGGGATACCCAGATAACTTTTCTTTCCATTTGGTTGAAGAGAGGACAGTTTGGGGATGTATATCCACTTTTTGCAAGATGCTCTTTAGGTTAGATTGGTTGGTTGGTTGGCATGGATACCTCCAGGAGGAAGACCCAACCAACACACCTGATCTTTCCCGTTAGACTAAACTTGTGGTAGTGATCAGGGTCAAGCCAGAGCTTCTTGTGAATGCCATTGCTTTGGAGGCTGGGATGATGACTAAAGTTTGTGCATCATGAAGTTATGCTCTCTGTTTAGCCACAGTTCTTTCTACAAGCCATGTCTTTGCCTGTGTGAGATTAAACCTATGCGCTTCCTTGAAATAATCTTTTAAATGGGTCACGTTTGAGGGAACAGATCGTCTTTTGCACACCCAGTCCATCCCTTTGGTGACCCTGTTTAATAGGGATGCATTTTTTCCCCCTGTCCTGTGCTGTTGTACCTCGGTTGAGTAGGTTTCTGCTCTGAATTCTGAATTTTGGCATTCAGTCCATTAAAACGAACTCTTCAGGGAGCAAAATAGCAGCTTATATTTTTCCCTGAATGTCACAGGAAGTTTTACTGGGTCTTATGTAAGTGTCCCAAGAGAGAACTCAGATAATTTCTTCCTTCAAGGGGACACAGGGAAGGGATGGGGTGGGGTGGGGTAGCACATCACCTAAATGCAGATGCCTGTAATGACACCACTGGGGACCTAAAGTGCTTATTCTCTGACTTATGTTCCTCCTTGCCTCAACTGCCTTCCCACCTCAGGATCCTTTTGATATACTCAAGATAGGGGAATGTTCCAAATTAGGAAAAGAACATTTCTCACAAATGGGTGACATGAATAAATTACTCACCAGTGTGCTGGGCCTCAGTGGGGAGAAAAAGGACTTAGGGAAAACTTGCATGAGGGTTTCACACATCTTTTGTGTACCTTTAGTTTTGAAGAGCACTTTTTACCTTAGTGAAAATTGCTTGAGAACACACATTTATCTAGTTGGGGCCTGTTAATTCCATTCAGAGGGTCAGAAGCTATTAGGATTTGACGGTGTCAAAGTAAGGCAGCCAACTCCCCTAGTAGAACAGAGAGGCTTCTGAAGCAGAGATTTCCTCCAGTCTGGGTCAGCACAGACTACCTGCAAAGTGGTCTCAATTGTGGACTAATATTTTTGATGTGAGAGGATATGGATTCCTTTGACTTTTAAGTTGAAACTGGAAGAGCCTTAGAAATAAAATCAAAGGTTTACTCTTCTCAGAGGTCATGAGAATTCTTCTCTGGGTCTCCAAGGTTTTCCGTTCCTGAGCTGTTCTTTAAAGTCAATGCTTAATGGCAGGAGGCTGCTTTTCCCAAGTCTCTGTCCTCCAGCCACTTATAAGACACTAGAGGGGACTAGTTTTCTATTTCACTACCAAAGTACAAAGACCAAGAGAACCTGCTAGAAACAGCCATGGCTCGTGATCATAACTCCTGAACGGATTCTAAACATTTGGATGGTGGGCCTGGTTTAATCTACAGTGTCATGTGGACAACTTGGGTGTTAACTGCAAAGTGTTATGGGAAAATCTGGGGAGACTCAGTTATTTATGTATATAAGGGCTATACTTTTTGGGAAGGCAGTCTCCCAAAAACTCTACCTTTTTAACAGTGGGTCATGCCAACTTTAAATTCCCTAATGTTGTTTGTACCCAGCCCCCATACCTTCTGTAGTTTTCAGGTTCAAACTCATCACCTCATACTGGCTAAGCAAGTGCGTTGTCTACTATTGAGCTACATACCCAGCTCCTCCTTCTTGGGCTATGAGGGGAACTTTTGTTCTATATAGTCCAGTTTTCAAAAATAATACTTCTTTAAAACATCTCTGAAATTAATTCCGTCTAGTTTCTTGCTGTCATCCTCTAAAAAGTACATTCCTTACACAGATGGTAGCATATCATTTGACAGCATGGTTGGACTTAGATGCTCTCTGCACTTTTGACAGTGTTACATCATTAGTGTCTGGGATTCTTCCAGCAGAATTAGAAGGTAATTCCATTTCCCTGAAGAACAAAGCCCTTTGGTCCATGTCTATGCATAGCATCTGACTCTTGCGAAAGACACACAGGGTGAGAAGGAAGAATCTAATGCTGGCACCCAAAGGACAAATCTCACCATAGTCTAGGTCCTGCTCAAATCCTGAGCTTGATTCAGTGTGTAGAATTAGACACTGTTTGGAACCGGTAAAATTCTGCAAGTTATTTCATTGCTTGGAACCCTGGTGTCTGTTAGATTGCATCTGTGACCTTTTACTCAAAAGTGTAATGCATATGTTGGTAGTTTAAGGGGAACTACTAAAGTGGTCTAGGAAAAATGATTAACATAGAGTCTTATTCTTTTATTAAGGCTTTATAGATTGATTCTCATAGGTACAGTATAACCAAGGAGTAAGAGATTGGAAGAGGTAAATGCTGTTATAGTTGCCCTTGAGTAACAACCAGTGAAAGCCTGACAGAATCTGGGCCTTGATCCTAAGACATGAAGGTAGTCTTAGGAATTTGAGGGAAGCTCTTTGGCAAAGATGGAAGAAAAAGCTGAGGTGACAAGGTGAAGGTGTCTTGTGGGTATAGATTCTCAGAGGCAGGAACAATGATGGGTTGTGGGTGTGACCTCACTGCTGTAGTCTTGTGTATTAGACAGTATGATGCTGATATTTGGAAATCAGTAGGCAGATTCCAGTAGAGTTCAATGTTCTAATATATATTTTGCAAGACGTCTAGTTTAGCAAGCAGTGATTGATTCTGGATGTTGGGACAAGTGCCATACCCTGTGCAGAGGTCATGGAGGCTCTCCATTTGGCTCATTTTTTATCAGGGGTATCAGACAGCCATCCACTCCTGCAAGCTGAGTATTACTGTGCAAGTGTGTTCAAAGGATGACTTTGGATTTCCTAGTTTAGTGGGAATAAGAGCATGTACCCCATTGTACATCACATGGAATGGCAGCTAGAAAAGGAGAATTTCTAGGAAAGGAAAGCTTGGAGTTAGGAAGGCAGTAACTTAAGAGGGACCCATGCCAGAGATTGTGCCTTAGCCTCATGTTCTGTGTATTCAAAAGGGTTGCTGGGTAAGATTCAAGAATACTAGTTACTAGTTGATTACCCCATATGTTATTAAACATGGACAAATGTTTTGATGTTCATTGTTCTCCATATAGGCTTTTTCCTGTCCTTTCAAAAGGTATTAGCAATGCAAATAAAGAAAGGGTCCCTTCTCAACCCTATGCCTGGCTTCTGTGTACGTGAATGACATCTGGGGTTTGGTTGTGTGATTACACAGCAGTGGGAAAAAGAGCTCGGTTACTTAACGCATAATGCAGTATGGTGAGGGCAAAGCTGCCTTCTGTTAGAATGAATTTATTTTCTCAGCTTTAGTTCCCGTTAGAATTATGGCCCTGTTTCCCACCAGAACAAGGTTCCTGTGTTAGAACCATTTCCCGTCTAGTCTCAACTTTCTTAGTTGGAAGCATTATACAGTGTTGAAAATGGGAGTATGCCTGTCTGCCTTTGTGTGTTATAGTGGTAAACTGTAGTTTCTTCCTTGGTCTTGGTATCTATAGGGGATTCATTCCCTATATCAATTTTTGCAGATGTCCCTGCTCCTTTTATAAGATGGTATAGTGTTTGCTAGAAGCTATATAAACTTCCCATATAGTTTTATAACCTCTACCTTATTTATAATACCTACCCCAATGTAAATGGTATAATAAATACTTATTATAGTGTGATCTTTAGAAAGTAAATGACAGAGCATAAAATCTACATGTTTAATATAGTCACAGTTTTTGTTTTTAATTTTATTTAAAAAGATTTAGTTTTTCTTTATGTGTATGAGTGCTTTGTCTGAACATGAAGTACACTGTGTGCATGTCTGTTCCCAGGTGCCAGAAGAGGACACCGGATTCCCTGGAATTTGATTGTAGACAGTTGTAAGCTGTCCGTGGGTGCTGGAAACTGAACCCAGGTCCTCTAGAAGAACAGCAATCTGCTGTGCTATCTCTCCAGCTCTAGATACAATTTTTAATGTTTTCTGCCCGCTGCTGTTTGCAAACCTAATGGCAAGTCCTTCTAGTCTGGACTCTACAGGGCTAGCTGTATGTGGTAAGGAAGAGAATCAAGAGTGGAACTATGCTATTTGAAGGATATTAGAAAGAATGAAGTTAAAGTTGCAATTGTAATTTTCAGGGCTACGTATATTAAGAGTAGGAGCTGGGACAGAAGTATTAAAAGGTGTGCGTGTGTGCATGCATGCTCGTGTATGTGTGTGTGTGTGTGTGTGTGTGTGTGTATGTATGTGTGTGTATGTGTGTGTGTGTGTGTTTCTAGATGAGTATTTGTCCATTTGCTTTACACCTTCCATGCCTGTATTGAGTGGACTGGTTTAAGTCAACTCAGGTGCCTGGTGTTCTCTAGATTCTGGGAGTTTAGAGACTGGAGAGGAAAAGGGCCAACCTGAGCTAGTTAGTGGTAAGGCTTAGACTGACAAGTAGGGTGTTAGCTTTCTGCTCTGAAATGAGAAGAGACCTGGCCAGTACAAAGGTATGTTCAAGAAGAATGTTAGCCTTTGCCCTTGGTGGCAAACTT